GCAGTCCACTAATCTCTTGGCTTCAAAACTTCAACATTCTCATCATTAAGCATCACTGGATGACTCCAACCATCCTCAATAGAACTCCAACAGTCTTCATCAATACCACTGATAAAAGCTTGCATCCGCACCTTCCAATATCCATAATTGGATGAATCAAGACGTGGGGGTTTTGTCATAGACGTTCCCTCTTGATATGCTGCCATCATAAACTCTGTCCTTCTTCCTGAACCAGTTTCTGTCCTCACCCTTCAAGATCTCACCAGTAAGTTAGGTGACCCGCTCTGATACCAATTGTTGATGTAGTGAGAGCAGAGCAAATAAAGTGCAGAAAGTAAAAGACACATTTTCTCTTTTCGAATTCACTAGAACAAGAAAGTCTTACACCAATCTTTTCTATTACAAGAATCCTTTAGGATTAGACCAATCCTAAGCTAAAACTCACCCTAGAGTCTAGACTTTTGTTTATCCGGATCCTCCAAAACCCGATCTAAACTCCCCCTGAGTCTAGGCTTCAATCTTCCAGAACTCCGGAAGTACATCAACGACTACATCAGCAACTAACGCACACCAATGACACCAAAGGCTTGATCACACAAGCAACACCCAAAATGATCTCTCGACTTTTCTTCTTATTAGCAGAGACACCTTTCTCAATGAAGGCACGTCCTCCTTGTATAGGTAACTAAAACTTGCTCCTCAAGTTCTTCCAAAAGCAACTTAAGCAACTTTCTTTTTTCTCTTAAGGAATAACTCTCTTGCCTTTTCCTCTTCAAGTAATATCATTTACACTTAATGTAAATATTCCAATAACTATATTACCTATTCTCCAAGCTTAACAAGCCCACGGACATCACAAAACACAAATTCCAATTTAGCCCAACTTCATGATACACGCATGTACTACCTCCTGTAGTACTTCACGAACTAACACAGAATATACATCTTCACATCCTGCCTTAGATGATGATGGCAGAAACGCTCTGAGGCGATTGCTAACTGCATACGCTAGGCATAATCCCTCTGTTGGATACTGTCAGGTATGTTCTAGTCCGGTGACAAAAATGAACATCTTAAGTTGTATTTATTATTTTATACAAAAAAATCGTGTGCAGGCTATGAATTTCTTTGCTGGACTTTTATTACTTCTGATGCCCGAAGAGAATGCTTTTTGGTATGTTCAGAAAGTACTCTGCAACTTTATAATATTGTCTGTCTATAAAAATCCAATCTCCTTGGTACTGGTGAAGTTTGTGTTTTTTTTTTTCTTATATCTTCTTGTTATTAATGTGTAAGCTAACTAAGCATTACTTCTGTCGCTGATAGGAAACATTGATGATTACTTCAGTAATTATTATTCTGAAGAGATGATCGAGTCACAGGTAAAGAGACTAGAGAAACTAGAGACTCTTTTACTTTCCCATCTGTTACATTACAACACCATTTGTTTTCTGACCAAAAAGAAAAACTCTTCAGGAAAGTAAAGCAAGAATATTTGCCGGTCATGATCAGTCCCTCATAAAAGTCAGACTTCCTAACGATGAGGATCAATCAACAGAGGATGGTGGACCAGGATCAACAAAGAAACCTCACTATATAATTAATATATCCATCATCATCATCTCATCAATTTTTTTTTGTTTGATAATTCATGTCATCAGTTAAGCTATATATATATATATATTAATCTCTTTGGAATAGAGCATTGACAAACGCGTGAGAGGAATTGATTTATTGTTGTATTATTTATTTTAGTATCTTTTGTTTATAAGAGCAATCTTCTAGAAATTTGATCTTCCAAAAGAATGTTGACATCTTTCATGGATAAGAAAACAAAAAAGGTAAAAGACGAATGACATATTAATATTTGTTATTTTTATTTATATTTGGTAACATAATACATTTTATGTTGCCACAAACACTAACTAATTAATAATATTAGTATTATTTTCTTTTGATAAAGGCGTGTATTATTATAAATATTATTTAAGTTGCAATATAGATAACAATATCAAGGACAAAATCCATTTTTATCTTTACCAAATTGGCAGATGCAAGCCCTCATTTGGTGGCCTCCGCAAAAACCAGTGCCATTCCTTTTTCTGGCACATTCAGCTTCACAATCGGCCTGAATACATTTTACATTTTCCGGTTTGAGGTATGGTTCTAGACAAGACTGTTTTTTATGTGGTGGTGGTCCTCCTTTCTAGAGCTGGGAATATGATTCATTACCCGCGGGTCCCGCCCCGTTTTACCCGCTGCGGGGCGGGTGCGGGTTGAACAATTTGAAAAAATCGATTAGCGGGTGCGGGTGCGGGTTATGAATATTTTATGCGGGGCGGGGGCGGGTTGGAGGATTTTGAATCGTGGGTACCCGCCAACCCGCAAAAAAAAAATTTTCATTTTTTTTTTCCATTTTTTTTTAAATTGTGTTTTTTTTTTGTTAGAAAATAGTTTTTTTTTGGAAAATAAATATTTTTTTTTTAAAATACCGGATTTTTTTTTTAAAAAAATAATTAAAAAATTAAAATATATAATTTTATTATAAATATATTATTTTTATTATTTTTCATAAAATATAAATTAAATAATTATTTATTAAAAATATATATATAACCCGCGGGTCCCGCGGGTTACCCGCAAAATTAAGCGGGACGGGTGCGGGTGTAAATTTATACGTTTGCGGGTTGTGCGGGTCGGATTTTTTGGCAAAAAAAATAACTAAAACCCGCGGGTTGGCGGGTCAGCGGGGCGGGTTTGACCCGCAACCCAGCCCTACTCCTTTCCCAGCAACCGTCTGTGCTCCTGTTATTATAATAGTTAAAACATAACTTTAGTCTTTGTATTTAAATAGAAAATTAATATTTTTGATAAAACATATATTTAAAGAGTTTTTTTTTGCATATTTATAGGGAAAGAAAACTTAAAGTATGAACATTTTCTTTTTTAATCATTGATTATTCTACAAAACTTTCTAAATCCAACATTATAGAATTCGATATAAAAATTATATCAGTACACAAAATAATAAGATATCAGAATAACTTTCTAAATCCAACATTATAGAATTCGATATAAAAATTATATCAGTACACAAAATAATAAGATATCAGAATAACTTTAATTTTAAATGATGATTGAATATAATAACAAATTAAATTGTAAATATAAATACAAACCGTGCAAAAGAACTGTGACCATAAAGAGACCAATAACTGAAGCTTGAAAAACATTTGTCATCTTAGATAATGAACTAAAGGTGTTTTAAAATTACAAAGAAAGAGAAGTATATTTATAGATGAATAAAAAATTGAAACATGTCTAATTTAAGCTATGTATCTTCTAAAATTCCAATATAAAAGGATCTAATTTGACCAAAACTTTTTTTCAAATTTTTTTATTTTTTTATAAATAAAAAGAATTTAAATTGGTTATTTTTAATATATTTAAAATATTTCTCGATATATACTTAAAAACAACCAATCGTCAAAGTTTTGTGAGACGCAATATAGAAAGTGTGAAAACGACATGGACCACGTACAAGCTCTCTGACTCTCTCCCATGGATAAATTCAATGCATGTTTCATGTGCTGCAGTCAAAGTTTTGAAAAACAATGTGTCTGTCCAACAAAACAAAACTATGAACAGAGATTAACCGAGGTAATAATATACACACACCGAGATCAGATTTAAAAAAAAAACACGTATGTGAGAATTTTACATTAAATAGTTAACATTGCATGTGTGCAGATGATAAGGAAGGCACGATCATTGTTCATCAAAGAATACAATAACAGGTTGTTCAATTGACAGGTTGGGTTCTCTCTAATAATGGTGGTGGTGGGACGGTTCAATATAAAGTTCATTTTGTAAAAATGGCGGGACCATGGATATTCTTTATATTCTTGGATACGTACACAGGGATATATTTTTTTTATGATCGTAGTGTGATCCCAAAGGCTTTCCAAGCCCAAATACTAATCACTACGAGGCCTGTAGGATCTGCATTTTCTTACCACTTAAAATGTTCCAGGTGGCCAATGGGAATCGAACTGACAGGTTGGGTTTTCTCTAATAATGGTGGTGGTGGGAAGGTTCAATATAAAGTTCATTTTGTAAAAATGGCGGGGCCATGGATATTCTTTATATTCTTGGATACATACACAAGGATTCTTTTTTTTTAATAACCGTAGTGTGATCCCAAAGACTTTCTAAGCCCAAAGACTAATCACTACGAGGCCTGCAGGATCCGTGTTTTCTTACCACTTAAGGTGCTCCAAGTGGCCAAAGGGAATCAAATCCAGGGCGGTACTCACAGCTGTAAGTTCTTTACCACTAGGCCAAAACCAAGTTCTTTACCACTAGGCCAAGACCACTTGGTTGCGCACAAAGATGTTCTGGATAGTATAATCTCTTTTCTACAACCCAATGGCATTTCATCATTGGGACTTGGGAGACTGTTGTGTATAGTCCCGTTCTCGAGTTGGATAAATAACGACAAGTCATGAGTGTCCTGGCTAAACTTCTTTCAACCTTTGTGCTTATCTAATTATGTTTTTTGGGTGTATTATTTTAGTATCTTTTGTTTTCCGGAGCAATCTCTTAGAAATTTGATCTTCATGTTAACATCTTTCATGGATAAAAAAAAAAAGAAGGAAATTGCACTCTATATTCATACAAAGAAAATAACACAAATATATTATCTAACTAAAAACATATATTTTTTGGTCAAAAATTATGTCATAATATATTCTTAAATTAATTAACATTCATTTAGTTAGAACCACCTATAGTCTTGGTTCAGCGTCAGTTCGTTTGCCAAAATGTTTGACTGGAACGGATATCTGGTACATGAACATATCGGATTATTATGTTTAGGATAAATATTGGTTATCGAACAAGCTCAGTTGCTCAACCATTAATTCTTTTATGTAACCTCTGCATACTTAGTTTCCTAATCTTCTAGAAATTTGAAGCTCTCAGCCACGTCCCTAATGAAGATGGTCAGAGACTTCAGAGTTCCCTTTCCATTCTTTAACCGTTGTACGTAGACACCATTTATTAATTTAATTGATTGTGTTTGTTTATTTTTTATTTCTTTTTTCAGGTAACAAAAATATTGACCAGGTATGTTCTTTTCTTTCTTCAGCATTGTGCCAGCAATCATGATTAGTGTCTCAGAAGTTATCCACCTTTTTTTTCAGGTTAACCGGATCCGGGATTCCTTGGCAATTATGAGTGACAACAGCACTGCCTTTAGCTTACCACAGGTTAGGGAAATTGTATATGCTTGCAACAGCTGTTTTTGTGCATGAAAATATTGTGGTTATCTTCAAATTGTTTGCTAAACACTTCGCCATATAACTTTGCTCTTTTTTTTTTTTTTTGTTATTTAGCCCCACCTCATGCGGACGAAGCTGTGTGACCTTAAGGATGAGGACCTTGACCCTACCTATGTTGCAAGGCGCGACCAACTGAAAACGCTGGTTGCTAGTATTCTCCGCCCAAAGATAGTGCAGGGGAAAGCACTAAACGGAAAGGAATTTATATCTTTCTTGGAACAGGTGAGCGTCTATCTTTTTTTTTTTTTTTTTGCATGGCTTTGAATTTCTCAACACAATGATATGCTGTGTGAGTAGAAGAAGTGTGTCTTTGAGAAATCACACTTGTTACATATAATAATAACGTATATCCCTTGTATGCGTATTATTGAATCTACTCCAATTCTGTTTTGCTCTAATTTGCAGATACTGGATGCGCTAAATAAAGGAGAGATTCCATCTACAGGGTCACTAGTTGAAATATCCAATAAAGATATAGTTGAGAGATGTGTGAAGCTGTACAATGAGAAGATGGTGAAACTGCGGCTACCTATGACTGAAGAATATCTCCAAAGTGCCCATGAAACAGCACATAACGAAGCTATTAAAGCATTTGATGCTCAGCATTTTGGAAGACAGCATGCCCAAAAATCTGTAGATCAGTTGGATGAACAAATGCAAGAGGTACGAATGAATCCGAGTATGCTAAAATTTAGTGGATGAAACGAGACGAAAGGATAATTCTGAACCCAAAATCTTGTACCCTGCAGGTATATAAGAATTTTGTTCTTGCAAATGAATACCAATCGTCAAAGCTCTGTGAGGCGCTGTATACAAAGTGTGAAGACGACATGGACCACTTGCAAGCTCTCCGGCTCCCTTCCATGGCTAAGTTCAACGCAGGTTTAGTGTACTGCAACCAGAGTTTTGAACACCAATGTGTTGGTCCTTCGAAACAAAACTATGAGCAAAGATTAACTAAGGTAATAATAATAATATATACACACCGAAATCAGATTTTTTTTGGAAGAACAAGTATGTGACATTGAACGGTTTGTGTGCAGATGATGGGAAAGGCACGGTCTTTGTTCATCAAAGAATACAATAACAGGTTGTTCAGCTGGCTGGTTGCCTTCTCTCTGGTAATGGTAGTGGTGGGACGGTTCATTATAAAATTCATTTTGTTAGAAATGGCGGCATGGACTCTCTTCATATTTTTGGAGACGTACACAAGGATGTTCTGGACAGCCGAATCTCTTTTCTACAACCCGGTCTGGCATTTATTTCATCGTTGGGACTTGGGAGACTGTTGTGTATAGTCCCGTTCTCGATTTGGATAAGTAATAATAACAAGTCATGACAAAACTTCTCTCAACCTCTCTGCCTTTATCTAATTATGTGTATTTTTTGGTGAATAGATGGGCAATTCCTATAGTTTGCATAATTGCATTGTGTGTGCTATATTGGCGGTGTTATGCAAAGAGGAAACATGGGTCTAGTTGGCTTCTTCCGATGTACAACAAGAATGGTCGGAGCAGGGAACGGTCAGAGTGAAACACATTCTTTCCCCTTATAACTTATAGCATTTTCATGGGCATGGCCGTTGTTTTTATCATCTGAAGCTCTCTGCCCGTCACCACCATTTTTTTTTTGGAGGCAGAAGAATTTCAGTTAGCAAGTGAAGAAAGAATATAGAGAGGATGATATGACTGATCCAAGTTGGTTTTGATTGATGCATGTATTCACTTAACTCTGTACCATTTACATAGAATTACATTTATCATGTTTTAACTTTATAATCGCTTTGGTTTATATTAAGTGTTGTTCTAACATTTTTTCTTGTTATATAAAAAATGTCATTCTAGAATTCCAATACAAAATATATTTACTTTCAGCTAAATATTAAGTATAAATTTTATTTATATCAAATATTATTGGTCAATAGCTGTAACCTCAGACCGGCGTTTATCAATCCGATTCTCCCTCACATCAAGGTAACCTCAATACAGTGAAACCTCTATAAATTAATATTGTTGGGACTACACTAAAATTTTATTTTTTATTAATTTATAGAGATATTAATTTATCGATATACTAATCGAATCAAAAACTCAATTTGGGACTGTAAAATTATATTATTTAGTGTATTTTAATTTATCGAGTATTAATTTATAGAGGTTCTACTGTAACTGGCTTCTCTTTTATGTAATTTCTGGAGACTTTATTAGAAGAATCCAAAGTTTGTGCCTTTTCTTGCAATTCAACTTTTATTTCTTGCTGTGTGATGAACATAGCACAATGACTTGAAACGCCTCTTTCTATCACTGTTCTACCATCTAGACGAGCCTCACTTATAGTCTACAACATGATCTCTCTTCTCTGGAAAGGTATCAAGCTCGAGACATCCATGGGCAGCAAGAGTTATTGCGTGGTGTGAATGCTTTTATTGATCTGATTTTCAGTGTTTTTATTGAGATCATATGTTCACAAGAATAGGAATGAGGGAGAAGCAAGAGTTATTGCGTGGTGTGAATGCTTTCGCAGCAAACATGTTTACTGTATTACCTCATCTGTGTGTTCTGTTTTTTTTTTTTTTTTATCTTGCCCCATCTGTTGTTTGTTTCTGTATGCACTTGTTGCCCCCTCCTCTTTCATTATTTGTAGAAAAATTGGTTTGCTTTACAGATTGAGCTTCTTGAAAAAAAAGTACATACAAATTTAGTGTTTCCTACTTTAATTGCTTCTCCCATAGACTGAAACTCTGTCCTATATAGGCCACTACTGGTTCTTCTTACGCTCATAGTATTAGTTTCTTCATTTACTAGAATGTTCTTTGTGAAGAAATTACAAGGTAATATTTGTTAGTTGTTCCTCTTTATGAATAAGATTGCTAGAAGCCTTTGAGTCTCCATTAAAGCTGAGCATGCTGTAACATTGTTGTGTGTGTTTAGCTGTTGATTGAGTGGAAACAGGAGCTTGATGCTGTGGATAACACTGAGAGGAGAGAACTGCTAAAGAAAAGAAGATTGTAGCCAGTTTTAAGCAGTGTGCTAAGTATCTTACTCCTCTCTTCAACTTATGGAGGAAGAAGGTATAAACCACAATCCCTTTTCCTTTTATTGCAAGCTCTTGGCTTTGCTTGCTGTTTGGGTGTGAAACATACTAGTAATGAGAAGGTTTGTGTGTGTTTGTTGTTCGAGTTTATATATAAGGTAGCAATTTGTTATATAGTTACACCTTTTTTTTTTTTTAATAAACCCAAATTAAGAAACCACCATTGTAGGTTAAAAATTAGATGATTCTTAACTAAAGTCCTTAACTAACATTTATTAGTTAAATAATCATTAAAGTGTACTTAATGTGTTTCTAGGGATAATTATGCTCTTATGTCTCTCCTCTAACTGAAATTTTACTATAGTGAGAATAACGTTTGTTTTTTCCCGAGATCTTGAGCTTACAAAATAGAGTAAAAAAAATATGTAAACTAGGTAGAGAGATGCACAACAACTAATATGTTTTATTAGTAAAAGTTTAATAAACAGAAAATTATCAAAGAAGTATATATATCATATTACCGAGCGTCAATGATCGACATGGTGATTTGGTTCACCGTGCCAAATTCATCGTCATGCCGTTTAATCCAAGTAGAAGAATAGGTGTCACGAGAACTGCCGCAGCTACCAACGCAATAACCTGGCTGTTTAGGTTGAGGAATCAATACTGCTTCACTTCCGAGCATCAAAACTACTGATGACATCATTGGTCTATCCTCTACGCGTTCTTGAACACACAAGAGGCCAATTTGTAAGCATCTTAAGATTTCTTCACGTGGCCTGGACGTTGGTGATGTGTTGTCTACTATCTCTAGGCCTTGACCTTGTATCCATTTCCTCCACACCTGGTTCGTTTGGATCTTTTCTTATTACAATGGCTGGGGGTCAGGAACACAAACGAATAAAAAGAGTGGGAGTGCTTACATATCCGAGAAGATTAAGACTACTATCCGAGTCGCAGAAGCCTCTGTTCCTCTTGCCACTTATAATTTCAAGAAGCAAGACCCCAAAACTGAACACATCTGACTTCATCGAGAATGTCCCGTTCATCGCATATTCTGGAGACATGTAGCCACTGCGCAATAACAAAATATAAAAAGCTATCAGGAAGCTCTTTGTTTCAAAATATACTGGATATATGATATGCTTTAATATATGCTTACTAAGTTCCGACCACTTTCCTCGTGTTAGCTTCCGTCTCATCCCGTCCAAAGATCCTAGCCATTCCAAAGTCTGCAATTTTTGGAGTCATATCTTTATCAAGCAAGACATTGCTTGCTTTCAAATCCCTGTGGATGATTCTAAACCGTGAATCTTGGTGAAGATACAGAAGCCCTCGGGCAATACCATTGATGATATCAAATCGCATTTGCCAATTTAACATACAGCTTCTGCTTTCATCTGCAATTCCCTTCACCATTAACGTATTTCCAAAAAGACAGAGTTCACTGTGAAAAAATAAGTACTAACCAAAGAGATGAGAGTCGAGACTTAGATTCTCCAAGTACTCGTAGATTAGCATTTTTTCCGCCTCACTAACACAACAGCCAAGTAGGCGGACAAGATTCTTGTGCTGAAGCTTTGAAATTAGTCTAACTTCGTTCATGAACTCATCAGTACCTTGTGTTGAATTTTCCGATAGTCTCTTCACCGCAATTTCTTGCCCGTCAAGTAACTTTCCCTGATGACACATTTAAATGACCGTTATAAAAAACCATCAGAGGGAACAAAAAGAACAATGGCTTTTGATTTCAAATAAAACTTGGGAGGGTATATATTCAAGACTACTTTTTCATTTTGTAATGTGTTAATTTTCTTTTATATTGTCTTGGTTTTTGATGATAAGATGTAGAAACTTTCACTGATTTATAGCATCAAATTGTACTTAGTACTATTGTATATCTTATTTGGGAATATTTCGAATAGTATATAATCTAATATTTGAAAATCACGTGTTTTAAATTTATATATTTATAATTATTTTATATTCTTAATTTTATAATTAACTGTTCTTTTTCTTAGTTATTTTATGTTAATTTCGAAATTTAAATTCAAAAGAAATATTTTTTTGGTATTATTGACATTCTAGAAATAATAAATTATTTTTTTGTCATAATATTGGTGGTTTTATAGTAGAAATCTTAATTTCGAATTTATGATATATATAAATTTAATACATTTATAATTTTTTACTTTTGTTTAGTTTACCTTATTTGAGATTGATTTTATTTCTTTCAAATAAGTCAATTTTAGAATTAATTATTTTAGATTTGTAGTTAATAATTATAAATGTTAAATTTCTATAGATATTAGGTTAATATATTTATAATGTTTTTAATTTTGTTTGTTTACCATATTTGATATTGATATATATTTTATTTTGAGATAAGCAATTTTGTTAATATCTTATATATTAAAACAGAAGTCATGACTTGACTTCATGTGTGATTTTTCAAAAAATGGATTATTAGTAGAAAATTATGTTACATTAACTATTTAATAATTTTATCTTTATTATATCTCAAAAAAATCATATCTATAATAACAAAGATACGCTTAACAATTTGGTTTTGGTAAATTACCCCACACCTTCCAATTTAGTCACGCAAAATATGTCAATAGATATAATTTTAGGAATCTTCTATTATTTATAAAGAAATATGTCAATAATAGTTAAATGCATCCATAATATATTAACAAAAATCACAGATTAGTAATATGAAATATTTATATACCCTAACAAAATTTACATACTATATATATTAGTTAATTTATTTCGATGTAAATTTGAAAAATTATATTGTTTTAAAAAAAGAAATGGTTTAAAAGATTATTTTTAATAAAGTTCTTCATAATTTTAACTTATGAAGCTATAAGTTTAGTTTTTAGCAAAAAATTCTTCGAAGTTTATATTATCTTTGAAAATTAAAGTATACTAATATTTAATCAAGCTCTATTTATATTACTTTATCTAAAAATGATACACTAATCTAACAAACAATAAAATATAGAAGAAGAAACAAACACATGTTCAAAAAATTTGAAACAATCTATTTGATTAAAACACTTATTATATAATATTATTATTTTTGAAAAACATTTACTATACATATCGTAAATATGTGAATTACTTAATATATACCAATTTACAAGTGAAAACAAAATGTTTATATAACTAACTATAAATGAATACAAACACCCGCGCGGTTGCGCGGGTCAAAATCTAGTAAACTTTTTAAAATAGCAAAAGTTTTGGCATATTGTGATTAGTGGTATGAAGGCGTGGATTTTGTTCCCTGTAAAAGATTGTGTCAAACAATATATAGTGTTTATTAGATATTAGATGGATATTATATTAATATCTAAATAGAACTCTTTTTACCTTTTGATCTATCAGAAACAAATCAAAACCCGTAAGCAACCCACCTTTTTGATGTTACATGATTCCCAAAGTTACCACTTTATCATGAATTTAGTTCTTATTAAACTCTTTTCTAAGATTATCGAAAATCAAAGAAGAAACACAAGCGACCATTGTGTGAATATTACTTTTCTTTTTTAATATCTTTCTTTGTCAAAGTAAATTTTAAAAACTCTTGGATATCTGATAACTAGTTATACTTATCATAACATTTCATATATTAGAAAGTTTTTATTTTATATATTAAGTGAAATTCCATTTTAGATATTTTAGTTTTTCTTTTTATTTTAACTACTTAAACATTATATTTTTAATGCTTTTGTAATTTAAAGGATATTAGAAAACTCCATTTTTATAAATTGTGAATTGTTTAGATGTTTTTTTTTGTTATTTTTACTATTTTAACATTAGATTGCTATTTTATTTTGTAAAAAGGGTATTTTACATTTAGTAGACAATCAAGTTTTGTTAATATTAGGATTACAATTTTAATTTTAATTTTAATTTTAATCTTTCATTTTACTATAACAATAAACATTTTCAAGAAAATTGCAAAATGTTAATATTTATTTTGTTAGTTTAAATTATATATAGAATACTAATTTCGTTTTTAATATAGTTTGGAAATACTAATATTTTCTAAAAACAATAAACTAATGGCTTGTGGTTTGTGGTTTTAAGTTTCATGTGTACACCCCTTAATGGCTTATAGACTCAACTTTTACACAGCATAGATTGACTTCTTATTTGATAATCAGTTTTTTATCGTTTATATTTATTTTTTGAAAATTAATCTACATAGTTTATATAAAGTACCGACATTTTGTAAGTCATAGTTTAATTTTTTATATATTTACATAACTGTAGTTTTTTGTAAACACTTTACGTACTATAAATCGGTTTCTTTTTGTTTTTCTATAAGTTGTGTTTACTCATTGTAAATGTTTAGTTTTTTTTTTTTTTTTGTCAATGTAAATGTTTAGTTATTGGACTTTTGTGGACTAATATGTTATTTCGCTTATAGTATTAAAAAGTCTTAACCGCGAACACGGTGATAGATCGTATTCATTTATTTATACCTTGTAAACAACACCAAAACCACCTCGGCCGAGCTTGTTTTTGTCAGCGAAATGTTCGGTGGCTGTGACAACAGCTTCAAACTCGATAAGAGGAAGTTGGGAATGTTCTAGTCGGCCCTCTTCAGACATATGGAGATGATTTCTTGGTAAGACCAGCTCGTTCACAACAATTTGGTTTCCCAGTTGAGAGACTGTATAGAGAACATTACAAAGTATTAGAAACATAGAAGAAGAATTCACAAAATTAAGAATATATTTAGAAAAAAAAAGCAAAGTAATTACTCATATATATATTTATATATTACCAATAGGTGTTGCATGTGCTTTTCCTTGCTTTTGTCTCCTCTTCCAAAAGCAGAAGAGGATAAGAGCATGTTTATCAATGTATCTTAAATGTGTCTCTTAGAATATTTATTAATAAAAAAAACAGAAAAAGATAATAATATCAAATAACGTATTCAAATTAGGAGTTTTGAGACACGTCTCTTAAGAGATGTGTGGCAATAAGAGAGTTTAACGTTTTATTTCATTTCTCTCTCTTAAATTTACTAATTAAATATAAACTAAGAGATTTAATAGGGTTTCTCCCTTTAAACATGCTCTAAGAGTGTGAGTAAGCATAACGCCGGCTCCAATACTCCAACCTATGATTTTTCCAGCTCGGTTCCTACTCTCACCACTAGAGGAAAAAGCTGAGATAAGAAAATGGAAAAGGTATTAAGAATGATCAGTTAACTCGAAAGACGAACTTGTATTCTGTGAAGAAGAGATTAATTATATACTAGATCATAACCCGCCCGACTGGGCGGGTTTTTGTTTTTATGGTTATATATAGATATTTTAAAAATTACAATTTTACTGTTCCAATTTTACTAAGTAATAGTATATTGTTTAAACATTGTATTTCATCATTGTATTATGTAACATGACATAGGTAAAATGTTGTGACCCGTAAATATTTTAATAATATTTTATAAAGTTTTTTTTTACTAAATTTGGTGCAAAGTTATATATACTAAACAATTTAGTCAAAATTTTAAGTTCATTTTTAATGAAGAAATGGAAGGCTAGTATATTACTGTTAAAAACTTATAACAATAGTCAAGATAAATTATATAAATAAAATATATATTATTCTTGATTTATTCCAAATACATTTAAAACACGAGTACATATATGTATAAATAATTTTCTGAAATAAAGTATTATCAATGATAGAAAATCCAAAACAATAATAATGGTATTTTGGGCCGCAATAATTTTTAGTTTAATAAATAAGCCCATTAGAATTGTAGGCTATCCTTGTTTCCAATCATCATAATTTTAAATACTTCCTATTCATGTTTCCAAACACTTAATTTTTTGTACTTCAGCTTTAATAGTATAGATAGTACGTACTTAGCTGGATCGTTAATCAACACTTTGATATTAAGAACACCAGAGCCGGGCCTGTAGGGAGGAACATGAAACAATGGAATGGCCCCCACCTCCAAGGGCTCCACTTAATTTTCTTTTTTTTTTTGTAAATAAACACTTAATTATATTTTTTCAGAAAAAAACATTTAAATTATATTTTTGTAAATTAAATTACTCAAACATAAGAAAATGACTAAGTTATATAAATAATTTTATTTCCATGAATATTTTTTTTTTTAAACTAAAGCTTGTTCTTTTTCTAAAAACTAAACCTTGTTCTTTAAAACAAAAACATTGTTCCTTAGATTTTTTCTCTTTATCAACATATTTTTTTTTGTAAATTATTAATTTTGATTAAACGATCACTATAATCAAAAAAAAATTCTAAATTTTTTGGACAAATATATCCCTATAATTAAAAAAATATTTGTAAATATTTTTGGACAAATATTTACATATGTTTGTAATAAAATACGGATTGGGGCCCCCAATTCTTCAGGACCGGCTCTGAAGAACACGACCAGATTCGAAGGAAGTCCGGACATCAAAGATCCCTCCGGTCCAAGTCACACAACCCAGTCCATCGTTTCCAAACGTAAACGACGTACAGTTACAATCGCTAAGACACTTGTCTCTGCATGTATTCACATCAATTCTCCGATCCACAGTCGCCGTCTTAGTATCCGGCAAATTGGTATTGTTTAGCTGCAAAAACCCAATATTATGATATTCTCCACAGTTAAGCGGCGTCTTCCTAACACACCCCGAAGGACGGCTTATCAAGTTCCGCTCTCTCCATTCGGTTTCGTTGTTTGGAACGAACCCTGTAATACAGTTACAGTAATGTGACAGCGACGGCGTGTTTTGGTCACAATAAGTATTAGGCCCAACACATATAGAGTAAATATCGCAGAGTTTCGTGGATAAATAATCGAAGGACGACCGCTCCCATGCCCAAAATGGCGGAGCCGACGTGAAGAGCATGAGCCTCCAGTTATCTCTCATTATCACTCTGGAGAAGATGCTTTGATTGGTCATTACCAAGCGGTAAGTCACCTCCTCGCTTGTCTCCGTATAATTATAATCAATGTTATATGATCCTAGTAACCCCGGTATGCCAATAAAACCATCCCAATGACTGCTTCTACGCCATATAAAACTTTGATTCATAACTAAGAACTCTGGCAATCCCCTCTGAATATCGATTTTGAATATGAAATTCCCGCTTGACGGATCATTGTCAGCTCTCCATGATGTAAGGAACCTGTTGCGACCTGTTTTCAGATCGTAACCTAGTTTCATCCCTGGAAGCAAAGTATCTGTTGGGTAATCGAAACTTTGCCACAAGAATCCACTACTTGAGTCGTTGTCGGAGAGTCTCAAAACAAAGTTTCCGTTGGGGAGAAGCTCTGCTATCACGGGTGGGTGATGTCCATTTCTTTTGCTAGTGAGATATCGATGCGTAGACCAAACAGTTTTATTAGACTGATTATCTAGCAGGACAAGGTTGCTTCCAGAGATTTCTAGGCTTCCTGTGGAAGTTGAGAGAGGGTTGTCTCTGTTGCGTAGGTATTCTCAGTGCCTTTCTTATACCATATTCCAAGATACCAACGTGAACGTTCCGAGGGTTTGAAGAAACCAAGCTCGAAGACTCCACCGGGAGATACAAGTGTTCTTTTGCTTGAGATTGTGAGAGACTCTGACGACGACAACGTACTACTGTTGACGTTGATCGAAAGGACCCGATGAAACAGAATCAAGACTAGGAAGAACGGTAAGGTTTGGTAAATCTTCTCTACCCTTTTCATCTCTCCCCACCACTTTCTTTCTTTCTTTCTTTCTTTTTTCTTCAGTTACTTCTCAAGAAAATTCCAAATTTATTTAATATCATGAACCTAGCCCAAAAAAATGTTGTGTTCCATATTCCGAGACTTTTTCATCCCATCAATTAATACATTCCCACAAACTTGTATCATTCGTCAACTACTTTTATATCTACGTACGTTATTAGTTCTTACCGCGTCCACGAAAAGATAACACGTGTGGTGTTCTCATTCGATACATTAAAAGTATATTAGAAAATTTCAGGACCATTTCGTCTAACGATTATTGGACTAGCTAGAGGATCAGGAAACAAAACCAACTAGAGCTTAATTACGTTGGTTCTTAACCAAAAGAAACAATAGTAGATTTTGGTTTAACTTAACCCAAAAAAATAACTCTTCTGTTTTCGTTTAATTACGTCAGGTGTTGTCTTGTGATTTTCACTTTTTTTGACAACATTTTTTGATTTTACCGTTTTGGTCAATTAGCTGCAATTTAGAGCTACTTTAGTATTGGAAGTCTGTTTCGCTCCAAACCCAGTCCATTGTTATAAAGGCTTAACAAAAAGACAATAGGTAAGGGAAATCGAATCATTAAACACGATTTACAGACGGATAATATTCGTCAGAAATTTCGAGTAATTACTTCGCAAGAAATTTCGAAATTACAATTTATTTATTATCATCACCAACCGAGCACAGGCAATCATAATGTCGTGTTCCTGACATTTCCATCCCATCCCCATCACTTTAATTAATTCATTCCCACAAACTTGTATCATTCGTCAACTACTTTTATATCTACGTACGTTATTAGTTCTTACCGCGTCCACGAAAAGATAACACGTGTGGTGTTCTCATTCGATACATTAAAAGTATATTAGAAAACTTCAGGACCATTTCGTCTAACGATTATTGGACTAGCTAGAGGATCAGGAAACAAAACCAACTAGAGCTTAATTACGTTGGTTCTTAACCAAAAGAAACAATAGTAGATTTTGGTTTAACTTAACCCAAAAAAAAAACTCTTCTGTTTTCGTTTAATTACGTCAGGTGTTGTCTTGTGATTTTCACTTTTTTTGACAACATTTTTTGATTTTACCGTTTTGGTCAATTAGCTGCAATTTAGAGCTACTTTAGTATTGGAAGTCTGTTTCGCTCCAAACCCAGTCCATTGTTATAAAGGCTTAACAAAAAGACAATAGGTAAGGGAAATCGAATCATTAAACACGATTTACAGACGGATAATATTCGTCAGAAATTTCGAGTAATTACTTCGCAAGAAATTTCGAAATTACAATTTATTTATTATCATCACCAACCGAGCACAGGCAATCATAATGTCGTGTTCCTGACATTTCCATCCCATCCCCATCACTTTAATTAATTCATTCCCACAAACTTGTATCATTCGTCAACTACTTTTATATCTACGTACGTTATTAGTTCTTACCGCGTCCACGAAAAGATAACACGTATGGTGTTCTCATTCGATACATTAAAAGTATATTAGAAAATTTCTGGACCATTTCGTCTAACGATTATTGGAGTAGCTAGAGGATCAGGAAACAAAACCAACTAGAGCTTAGTTACGTTGGTTCTTAACCAAAAGAAACAATAGTAGAATTTGGTTTAACTTAACCCAAAAAAAAACTCTTCTGATTTCGTTTAATTACGTCATGTGTTGTCTTGTGATTTTCACTTTTTTTGACAACATTTTTTGATTTTACCGTTTTGGTCAATTAGCTGCAATTTAGAGCTACTTTAGTATTGGAAGTCTATTTCGCTCCAAACCCAATCCATTGTTATAAAGGCTTAACAAAAAGACAATAGGTAAGGGAAATCGAATCATTAAACACGATTTACAGACGGATAATATTCGTCAGAAATTTCGAGTAACTACTTCACAAGAAATTTCGAAATTACAATTTATTTATTATCATCACCAACCGAGCACAGGCAATCATAATGTCGTGTTCCTGACATTTCCATCCCATCCCCATCACTTTAATTAATTCATTCCCACAAACTTGTATCATTCGTCAAC